GCACTATGTGACCATCATGAGCAGAGGCCGTTGCATTGGGCTGATAGCAGCCTCCTGGGTGGGAGGCTTTGCCCACTCCATAGTACAGATTTCTCTCTTGCTGACACTTCCATTCTGTGGACCCAATGTCCTTGACACTTTCTACTGTGATGTCCCCCAGGTCATCAAACTTGCCTGCACAGACATCTTTGTACTTGAGCTGCTGATGATTTCCAATAATGGCCTGGTTGCTACTCTGTGGTTTGTGTTGTTGGTGGTGTCATATACAATCATTCTGATGATGCTTAGGTCTCAGTCAGGAGAGGGCAGGAAGAAAGCCATCTCCACCTGCACCTCCCACATCACTGTGGTCACCCTGCACTTTGTGCCCTGCATCTATGTCTATGCCAGACCCTTCACTGCCCTCCCCACAGATAAAGCCATCTCTGTCACCTTCACAGTCATCTCCCCTCTGCTAAATCCCTTGATCTATACTCTGAGGAACCAAGAGATGAAGTCAGCCATGAGGAGACTCAGGAAAAGACTTGGACCTTCTGATAGAGAAGAGCAATAGCTCTTCCCCATCACAACATTTTCAAACATTTGCGTGTAAAATAAGCTTTATTCTCTATACTTGTTTGTCATTTTTCTTCCCACTGTGGCATAAAACAGCTCAAAAGATATCAAATTAATAGTTTTATTTCTCCCATGTGTTTTCAGTATGTAAAATATTGTCTCACAAAATCACCAAGTCAATCTCAAAATATAAAGAAATAGATACATGAATTAGATCATTCCATACTGTAATCATACTTTAGTTCTGCTTTGCTTTTGTGCTTTGTTTTCTGACACAAGTTTCATTATACAGTCTGGTTTGCTCTGGAACTCACTATATAGCCCAGGCTAGCCTCAAATTCTCAGAAACCTTCCTGTATCAACCTCATAAGTGCGGAGATTAGAGTTGTGAACCACTATACCCAGCTAGATTTTCATGTTTAAAATTGATTTGATTTCTGGAACAGAGCCTTCATAGAAAAAAAATAGAAATGACTTAGTGCTGTGAACTAGGTCCCATGTGTCTAAATCAACAGTTAGACTTAAAAACACTGTTAGAATCCATGCACACAATAGTGTGATCACAATGCAATGAAGTAGTGCTTAGAAATATTCTAAGTCCAATCAACCTATGTTGTGAGCACATACAGAAAGCCCTGGAAGCCTGAACTCAGTGTAATCACATACAGAATGTATTTCCTTCTTCTTTCTGTATCATTGTATCTGGGAAGACTGAGATAAAGAATTCAGTGAAATGTTTCTAAAAGTTAGTAATAGTAATTACCATAACTGATAATAATGCAGAATCACATTCACATACTAGACTTACGGGAAGTGGGGTTTAGACATTAACATTTCTTATATTTAGAAAGATAATACCATGCATATATTGATCTTGCATTGTTTCCCTATGGAGGGGTAGCTGAAAAGCAAATATATCATTATTTTTACAAGAAGATGCTGGAATGTTACCATCAGATAAAATAGTGTATTTGAAAATTATGCATAGATTTACACTAAGATCAAATATTGTTGCGATAGTTCAGATCAAAGTAAATTTTACAACGAAAGATATTAAGCACTTGAGTAATGAAATAAATAGCATAAATGTTTAGAGAAAAAAGTAAAAGATATTTTTGTAAAGCGCTGTTCTGGTTACTTTTATCAGCTTGACACAAGCTAGGATCATCTGGAAAGAGGGAACCTTAATTGAGAAAATGCTTCTATAAGACTGGCCTGTAGGCAAGTCTGTGGAGCATATTCTTAATTAGTGGTTAATGCCAGGGGGCAGCCTACTGCGGCCTTGCCACCCCTGATCCAGTGGTACAAAGTTATTTTGTTTCATATTGTTTTGTTTTGTTTTTAAAACAAACTAAGCAAACCATGAAAAGCAAGCCAGAAATGGTTGGGGTAGTATCACATAACAGAGATGGGATACAAAAAAAAAAAAAAAAGGTAACTGATAAACATGGAGAAGAAAGTGAATGAACATAATAAAGGCTGAATATCAGAGGAGTTTCTAGAGAAAATAATAGGAATGAAGAAGCAGTGTTTTAAGAGAGAATAGCTAAGAACTTTTCACAGCTGATGAATTATACAAACGTGAAACCTATCATATCAGATTCTGAGGGCTGAAATGGGGTGTTGCCTGTGCAGGTTCAATGGCACAGTTAAGCAGGCAAAAAAGAAATCAACAAACTTGGAGATGGGTCCACTGAAATGTATAGTCTGAATTTGACAAGCACACCCACATTTAGACTCTGAAAAGCCCAACCATGCAGGTACCACTGTGATCTTCTTTTATGACCAGTGTATTGGATGAAAGAGGTGCAGGCAGCTTTTGAATGGCCCAGAGCTGGTCATGGAGAATGCCACAGGACTACTCAGACTCAGATGCAGCATCTCCTCTTGTCTACAATACAAACATGAGAAAGTGGCTGAAGCCCATTGAGGAGATGAGCATGATTACAAAGTAGAAAGAATGTTAACACTATAAAGAATCAAATAGATATGAGTATAAAATTTGAAAGTTCAATAAGTCAAGGTCCTAAACTAGAGGCAAAGACCTCTGTAAGATCATCCTAGAGACGTAGCTGGTGATTGGGCTTTCTGAGCATTGCTCAGTCAACAATTATTTAATACTTATTGTATGTCAAAGAAACAAATCAATCAATACTTTGAGAGAAAACATAAATTGCACAATCTGAGAAACATAAAGATAACTAAAGAGAAATAAAGAGAATCATAGACATGATGAGATACTATGAAGCAAAATAACCTACACATGACAAGAGTCCTAGGATAAGTAATGGACTGAAACTCACAACTCTTGTTTAAAAATATTATATATAGATATAGAGATAGAGAGATATATATCATACATATGCACCTATCTAAGAAGTTACATCAAAAACACTACACTTAAAATACCATAATAAAACTGTCCAAAAGACAATACTAGAAATAATCAGGAAGAAATGAGTTATCACATACAACAAATATTCAATCACTTTAAGAGCTGAATTTTCATCAGAAACTGATTCAAAGACATGAAAACAAATTCAAATTGCTAACAGAGAATGCCAGTCAAAAAGAATTATATTTACAATGACAATGTAGAAAAGAATTAAACATTATCATAGAAATAAAAGTAGATTGTATATAACATCTTTCCCTATTAAAAAAAATAATGAAAGTTCTAGATAAAAATGCAGGGCATTCAGTAAAATATACAGGCATAAGTAAAGACTTTCTAATAAAATCCTAGTTGCTTAGAAGGTAAGAAAAAGATTTAATACATTGAATCTTATTAAATTAAAAGGCTTGTAAAGCAATAGAAATGATCAACTGGGTAAAGAGGCAGCTTACACGATGGTAAAGAAACTTTGCTGCTATACATCTATTGAAGCATTAATATGTCTAGAATTCACAAAGAAATTTAAAAAAAGTGGAAAATGAAGAAAACATGTGGGCCAGGTTTGATGATGGCTACCAAGGACCAGCCTTGGCTTGGAGGTGGGTTCTGAGAGAAGAAGTATTTGATAGCAACAAAACAAAAGACTCAAAATCAAATCATAGCTCCAAGCTAGAAGCCTATGTTCTGCTCAAGACAGCGTTCCAGAGTATCCTCTCTGTGTTCTGTTATCTCTGGACGTCTCCAAGTCTCTCTCTCTCTCTCTCTCTCTCTCTCTCTCTC